GGGTCCTGGAGCGCCGACTTGACTTCCAAGTTCGTGAGGGGGACCGACTTCTTGACTTGCTTCTTCTCCTACTCGGGGACTTGCTTTTCTTCCTTTTCTGCCTCCCATTGCTCGTTCCTTCATTCTCTCTCTTCCTCTTTTCCGGCGGTGGGTTGTCGATCTTTTGATTGATCTCCTCCTCGGTTCCGATGAACTGATATGCTAACTTAAGAAATTCGGTGATGTACTTTTGTTTGTTGGCTACCACATGCCACTTAAACTCTTTCTAGTGATTCCTTTCTTTGTTGTAGTGAGTCGCACCGCCGGGTCGAGGTCCGGTATCTGCAAGCAAGTGTCATTGAAGCACTTTATATGGCTTCTGATTGATTCTCCTTCTCTCTGAACTACGYTCAGAAGGCTTTCCTATGATTTCTGACACTTCTTGCTTGTAATGAAGTGCGTAGTAAACAAGTCGGCGAACTGGGACCAGCTTTTGATGGAGCCTGGCGCAAGGTTTCGATACCAAGTTCAGACTACCCCCTTAAACGTAGTGGAGAAGGCCACACACATGCAGGACTCATCAGCTCCAGCTAGGTGCATTTGAGACTAGAAAGAGTCCACATGGTCATTGGGGTCAAATGACCCATCATACTTGTCTAATGGGGGCATCTTAAAATCTTTTGGCATTGGAGTTGCCAAGAGCTCGGGAGACAAAGGGGATGACCGACAAAGTAGTGGAGGTGCAGTCTTTGTAGCCATCAAACTCGCTTCTTCCTTTCCTTTGGTTTGCTCTTCTTGCTGGCCTGGCTTCGCCGGCGGGCTATTCCTGGCCAAGGGGCGGCGTGTTTTGCGATGTTGCCGCTGCTGCTTCTTCACCGACTCAGCATTAGTACTGCTGACTTCAGTCTGGTCTAGTACTTTGGCCTTGTTGCGAGGTAGATCCTGGTTCCTTCTTATTGGATTCTCTTGGTTGTGGGGCTCGAACTGGCTATCGCGAGGGATGGAGAGGCCTTGTCTCGAGTTCGCACCTCGAACCCCAAACTGGTTATTATCTACTCGCGAGCCATCATTTTCTTGCTGGGAGTTCTGAGGCAGATTAGGCTGACTATCCCCGGACCTGTTTCTGAGATTTCTTTGCGAGACTGGAGGAGTGTGCTGACCATCTCTCCTCCCACGGGGCGAAACCTGACTCCTAAGAGGAATCGGTACTTGTGAGGTCTCTTCGCCCTGATGGGGAGGTCGGCTGATGTACTGGTTAGTTTCAGGCCGATTCGGGTTCTGGCCCTGACGGGGCCCTGGGTGCCGAGGTGGAACCGGCTGCTGGTTTGGCTATAGTGGAGGGAACTGGTGTTGATACTGCTAGTACAAATAGTAATGCTGGTACTGTTGGACCTGTTGCATCTAGATCTGAATTGCCCGGATGCACTAAACGAGGTCATGAAACTGGGAATGCCCGATTCCATGGGGAACCACGGATGGCTCAGAGAAAGTCACGCCTACCACTGGAGAAAGTGGGACGCTTACTTGCGTGGTGCTCGGTAGTGTGGACAGTGACGGGACTCCGGACGCTGTGAGCGGAATAGTGAACTGGCCGATGCATACTGTAGGACCTTGGGGGAAGGTTGATTGCTGGGCTTGCCTCCCGGTGACGTTCATCTCAACACTTTTTCTGGTGTGGCTAGAAGATGCCATTGAGGTTGAGACTAAGTTTGAAATTGTAAAGAGATAGGAATTACCTTTTGATCGTTCCCACAAACGGTGCCAATTGATGGTGCGCGATCTGGTTACTCCTAACTAGAGGGCGATCCGAACTCCAATTGGGCGGCGAGCTGGATCAATCTGCAAAACAGTGGATCAGAGAACCTGGGGTAGCTAACCCGGCGAGGTYGCTCTGATGCTTAAGTCAGTACTTATGCTATGAATGCGAGATTTCTGCTTGAGAGCTTGAGTGCTAGTGAGTAGAATAATCACGCGTATCTTTGCCTTGAGGTTTCATGTCTTTATATACTAAAGTAGTCATGGGCCTTATGAAAGAGCTCTGGGATCTCCGGGCTGTGGAGATAAGGTTTGTTTCGTTTTTGAAGGAGAGCAGTATATTGATAAGGTTTATCGTTTACCTCCGATTCAGGCGGAGCCGGGACAAGTTCTCATCGTGATCTTGGGAAATTCGGGATCTGTTGGTTCATCGTGATTTTGAGAGATTCGGGATCTGTTGGGGAGGCCTTTGGAGTCATTTATGTAGCGTTTCGGCTCATTAGCTCCGAAATGGAACTTCGATTCTTTAGTCCCGAAYTGAATTGGGTGTCGAGGTACTTCTATACCGATGTGGGTTTTGGGCCGAGGTGGCTGAATACCCGAACTCGGAATGTTGCAAACTGGACTTACCTGGCTGAGTTGTCATCCTTCAATCAAATTGCGCCTACGTGTCTCCTTCTTACTAGGTCGTGCTAAATCACCCTTCATTGGACCTCATGTGACGAATTGATTAATTGAATGATAGAATAAATTGAAGATAAGGTGGGGGAGTGAAAGCCATAGTTACTTCTATGCTTAATCTAAACCTATGTGGTGATGTAGGAGGAGGAATCAAAACAGAATTGCACTAGTTATTGTTAAAAAGCAAATACGAGAGGAGCTTGTTTTGGTTATGAAAGGGGGTTTGAAAAGGGCATTGGCTTTTGAATGGAATGTAAATCTTTGACCAATCCTCTCCATTTTCAAATGCAAAACCAACAATTTGTTTTCTCTCTCTCAAACCCACGTTCTTGCATTTTGCAAATTCCTGCTTCCAACCGTCAGATAAGACCCAAGACCCAAGAAGAAACCAACCATCTCTAGTTCTTTCCTTCCTCTCTCTCTCTCTCTCTCTCTCTCCAAAGTACTATAGATTTAATTTTTCCCACTAAATTTGAAAACACAGAGGAAAGGCTAAGAGGTTCTAAATGCTCTGCGTTAACGTAAAAACCAGACGGACGAAGGCTATATAAGGGAAAGACATACACGGAGACAGAAGAGAGGAAACAACAGATGGAAAGGGGGCGGGATGTTCGATACCGTGGAGTTCGTCGGCGGCCGTGGGGAAAATATGCAGCAGAGATACGGGACCCCTCTAGACCTGGTGCTCGTTTGTGGCTGGGAACGTTCGAGAATGCAGAGGATGCTGCACGGGCATATGACAGAGCTGCCTTTGCATTGAGGGGTCATTTGGCTATTCTCAACTTCCCAAACGAACATCGACTGCAAAGCTCATCATCAGCTCCGTCTACTTATTTGCTTTCATCATCATCTTCTTTTTCTCTCACTGAGAATATTGACAAGGGAAGCTCATCCACTACGGGAGGAGAAAAGGTGGTTTTCGAGTTTGAGTACTTGGACGACAGGCTGCTGGAGGAGCTTCTTGATTCGGAAGAACAGAATAAAAGAAAGAAATGTTGAATGTTTAAACATTTTGAGTGCAAGTTTTAGTCGTCATAAAGTTAATTTCTTGCTATTAAATAATAATCTCCACACATTTAAATCTTCGGGCACTTAAATGCATGGAGTACATACATCAGTTGCTTATGTTCATGATTTTTGTGTTAAGTTATTGTAAAATAAGGATTTCTGTGTCTTCATTTCATAGGTTTAATTATTTTATTAACATGTTCGCTGCAGCATTCTTTTCAATGTTTAGAGGGAAAAAATTAAATCAGAAATTTTTCAAAATAATTTTGGTTCTTTTACAGGTATATCTCATTGCATGTGTGATTTCACTGCATCGATATTTACACAATTATATTGTAATAATACTCTTGTCACAGACTGAATTGCATGTAGTGCAGGAATAAAAGTGCAATAGATCCAACTCCACTTATATTCATAATATATACATTTCTTCTTATGAGCACTACTTTGATCCCAGTCCGAATCTGCCACGTATACATGGTGAGCACATTGATTAACCACTTAGAAAAGTTTTTAACACCTGTACCTTAGAAAAGTAATTAATGAACTAGTTGAAGTATGAATGGAGGTAATGCGTGATCCATTAATTGGTTTTTGTCTACATTATTGTTGATTAATTATTAATTTCTGCTTTTATATTGCACCATATATTCTTCTAAATCTTTTCAACAATAGATATATGACATAGGCTAGACACAACTTAGATTAAATTATTTTTGGGGAAATGAAACAAAACCGAATCAAACCAAATTTAAATCGGATTAAAATAATTAAAAAAGAAGTGAGTAGCAGTACCCTCATTAATATCTATGATGTAAAGAAGTGGTCTTTTGAACCTTTGTGGTGGAAACTAGCCAAGACTAGTTTCTTGGAGAGACGAGAGAAATTTTGTGCGCATTTAAACCCTACAAGATCATATATATATTCATCAAAATAACTTCCCCCTTGAAGATTCTCAATTGTCGTTGGTAATTAATGGTGACTTGTCTAGCTGAGCGGAAAATGACTCTTCGAGTTTAGGTAACAATGTCTAATTCCTTCCAAGGTCTCAGTCATTCATGCATTGCTAGAAAATAGAAATCGGGCTAGCACTATAATTGATGAATCGACCCCTGCGCAGAATATGGAATCGATCGCTACCTTATGAAAACAGCTAGCTAGATACCTAGCTACATCTAATTAAACAATTAATTAGTCAAAGTAGAGTTGTGTCATGATCAAGAATAATTAATCTCTAGTTGCAGAGATATTCCCCCCTCTCTCTCTCTCTCTTCTTAATTTCTCTATTCACACATCGATTTGGGCTCATGTTATGTAGGGGATACCGAAAACTGGGATGTACGTACAAAATCCCAATTAATAGCAATGATGGTGATGATGAGGGATTGTGAGCCCCGTTAGATTATGCATGATCTAGGCTTCCGTCACAGGATCGCACATTTTGTGTTTGGGATAATGTCTCATAATCCAAATTCGTTAATTCAACTTTACTATGGGACCAAACCAACCGCTCGGTGGTCTGGTATATATTTAACATATAGAAATTGGAAAACATATACAGCCTACTAGAGTAGACCAATTCTCATCTTTCTGCTACAAGAATAATGCGATGAGTGTAGGTGTATGGACCACCCACGAGGTAGATAGGGCCTAGGGGGACCTCTGCCGTTATACACTCATATATGTGTTAAAATAAAAGTACTCCGCCCATTCGATATTTTTCCATATACTCCACCTTGTATAGGCCATTGGAGCTGTCAGCGGCCTTTACGTAATATAGACCTAACAAAATCTCGATTTAGTCCCTTTTTATTTCGCAGCAGGACTCTTAGTTTGAAAGCATGCAATAAGGGCTTGCCCTTTGGCACTTCAAACATTCTTTGGTGGCATCCTCTCGATGACCCAAACCATGCTAGACTGGGCTGGGCTGGGCTGAGCTTGCCACCTTAATAATAGCGTAGGACCCTTTTTGCCACCTAATTAAATTCCAAACAATAAATTAAGTGCAATAGGACATTTAGATGGCTTTCGACTTTCCTTAATTAACACCAAGCCATGCATATATACATACATGGATCATTTTAGAGGTTCAATTTGAGCTCACCATTGTATAAGGGGGTCAACCTAAGTAGCATCACATATTAATAATTGTGACAAGATCAACCAAGTCCAATAAATCGAATTTGGGTCAATTTGACCCATTTTATTGATTAAATATAAGTGTTGAATATTTGATGAATATTTTAGAAATCAAGAAAAACATTATTGAATAGAATAAACATAAACATTTTAGAAAATTGATCCAGTTAAGCAAGAAAACAAATTTGTGATTAATATGATAATTCTAGAAAGTTATTCATTCACATGTTTTAAATGTGAAAAAAGAGCATTCTATAGTATAAGGGTAAAATAGTAAAACCACAAACTTAAGAAACTTCTTGAATGTGCATCAGGTAGTTTGCGTCCGTTTCAAGGGGCCTTGAACCATTCTTGCCCCATCACCTTGATATCATCCCATTCCTTCTTATCCATATCAACCTTTTTCTACCTTCCCATTTCAGTCATTCACCATTTTAACCCTCTTATCACCGGAATTCTAGCTCCAATTAATTATATTGGCTTGATCCCTTATTGAATGCATGGCATGTAGGTAGCTCCTTCAGGGCTTTAACCACTTACTTCTCTCTACTTTCGTTCTCTTTTTTAATTCAGCCAATTCTCGAACCTCAATGAATTGAGTGTCATAAACTGATAGGCAAACAACCGCATGCCTACCTTTATAATCATCACCACTAATAAAAGTATATACTTTGTTTTAAGTATAATCTCAAAATATTTACTCGATTTTCCCAAATAAATTACCATGAACACCCTTCAATGAATTGGTAATTAAGACCAGATAGTGCTCCTCAGAAGACAGTTATGCAATATGGTGCTTACAGTTTACTGTTGCAAGTTTTCAACGCCAATGTGGCATTCAAAACATCGACATAGAAAACTTCTTCCTGATTTTATAAGAAGTGTGGATCAGAAAAATGACATTTTTTCTCCAAAGTGGCACTCTTAGACTAAAATTTGTATTCTCACTTTTGTCAATACACAATTTTATTGTTGCATTTTATATTTATCATCATTGGTTAGAGCTGTCAATAGGTCGGATCAAGTTGTTAATAAAAGTTAATTGTGCATGATTAATGATGATAATTTAAAACTTTATTTTTGATATATAACACTAAAAAATTACACTAAAATAGTAAACTATCTATATGTTAATAAAAGTTGTTAATAAAAGTTAAGAATGGTGTTTTTAACAAACTATCTTAATATACTACCTATGAAATTTATCCTTTTGAACATAAAATAGAACTAAATTAAAATTACAATAAAATCTTGAGGCCTTTATGTATTATTGATTATAATTGATTTGAGTCTAGGGGTGGCAATTTATAAACCCAATCCACTAACCGACCTACCCACTTATTAATTAATGGATTAATATTTTGAACTCTC